AGCTGCCACCCAATGCTCACAGCACCATCGGGCGGCACGGTGGCTGAGTGGATAGCACCTCTCAGCAAGAAGGTCCTGGGTTCGAATCCCGGTCGGACCAGGGCCTTTCTGAGTGGAGTTTGCATGTTCTCCCCGTGTCTGCGTAGGTTTCCTCCGGGTACTCCGGTTTCCCCTACCACTAAAAATATGTACAATAGTTCAGGCATGTGCCACCTGCACTGGCCCCGCTCCCATCTCTGTGTGGAGTGAGAGACAAATGCCCATAATTAACAATTGTAAACCGCTTTGAGACTCAGATCTGCAGTGAAAAGGCGGTATATAAATAAAAACTTACTTACTTACTTACTACCAGTCCCTCCTGCAGGTGGTGAGTCCACAGGAAGATGGCTACTGATCCGTCAGCGATGACACAGCCTTGCTCTTTCAGCAGGGGCTTCAGGCTTAAGTGGGGTTAAGTGTCTTGCCCAAGGACACAACAACAGTAGACACTAGCGGGAGCAGGTCTTGTAGGCCAATGCTCTACCAACTGAGCTACTGTCGCCCCTGTAAAGATGCACATACTGCTTTATGAGCTGACATGTTTTGGTGGTAGACTTCCGCCATCGTCAGACGACGTTCAGGTAATGAAGCAGTACTGGCTTTTATACATCTTTGTCTAATTAAAAGAAGCAACAGTGAGAAGGAGAAGAGGGAACTAAAGCGAAAAAATAATCAAAGAAGAAATCAAGCCCGGGTGAACATAGCTAGCTTACATCGTATCCTCTGGAGAGAGCTGCGGGAGCGAACCATAGACTGTAAGTGCGGACCGCCTCGGGCAAACTTTGGACGCGAAACTAGCGGTTATCTTTCCGTTATTGTACTGTATATTTTGTCTGCAGTGTGTTGCTGTTGTACCCTTTCATTATTGATTGCTGTACAGCTTACAAGAAGTTGTGCTAATGCTAACTAATGCCTACCCGCTTTGTCGCCATACACACGCATGTGTCCGCGTCACTTCTGAAGCCTAGTGTATACTTGCGCGGCGCTGCTTACGTTAGCGGTTGCGGTGGACCTACACAAGCACAATTTAATTTATACTCCTTGCGGAGTTTTGAGGAGAATGTTGTGATCCCACAACCAACCACATGATGGCGATCTCACAGGAGTTGCTTGAGATACCAAAGCAGTCTCATTTACGCTGCTACTTTCTCCTCTTCAGAACAAAAACATGAACAAAAACAAAGCTGTTTGAGATCATTACATGTGTTTCTACTGTAGGTTTATGTGATAGTTCTATGGACTCATTATTTCTTAACTTATTTAACTGTGATGTTGTGAATAAAGACACAGTTCTTGTTGGAAACATAGTTATTATTAAATTGTATTCAGCACAAACAGCAAAACAATAAGTGGTAAATATCTGAGGCAAACATGAACAATTTATAAGTGCAGGAGGAAAGGAACAGACGCGATAAGCTACAAGTGCAGATTCAAACAAAGACAGGAACAGTGCAAAAGAAACGACTGCACAGTTTATAAGTTATATATATGTTAGATATGCAACAGAACTCTAGTCCACAGGCTCTGCCATGAGCCCAAACTACTTTTCCGTTGGTTCCTTCGAAGCTCAAAGCTCTCTGCTCCATAGTGCCTCGTCCATGTTCCCTGCAGCCGCTTCATGCTTCCTTCCAATACACATGCACGGACCAATCACAGCGGAGCTTCCTTGCGGCAAAAAGTTAGAAAATTTCGATGCTGCGCGGCAGGCGACATAAGGGCCTTGCGGTGACCAACGCGTTGCGCAAGTGATGTCACGTCACCTCCGTAAGCTCCGCGCCGCGCGAGTATACACTAGGCTTGAGTGTTATTATGGGATGCATGTGCGGCTCATTTGGACATGCGTCAATTGCGTTAATTTTTTCAACGCGATTAATGGAACAAATTAATTAACGTGAGTTAACGCGATAATTTTGGCAGCCCTAAACATTATACATCAAAGCACTAAACTCAGATTATCTTTACGGCATGCTTCACCCTGGACTCATACTGTATTTCTAGGCCACCTGAGTTCCCCACGGATCTAACAAATGCCCCTTCAACAAGTCGCTATTTGCAGCCTCTTCTGCTCTTTCCTCATTACATCAAACCCTACTTTTGAGGATTGAGGAGGCAATTCCTGCTTTTCAAACACAGCAGCATCAAACACTTGCCATTTACGTCTATGATCTGATCTCAGAGAGGTCGGCTGAAAGCCTCTAATGTGCCTGACGTTTGCAGAAACAGCACAAAAGAGACTGTTTCAAAACGGGGAGGTTGTTAGACTTTCTCCTCCTTCACAGTGATGGCCTTCATGCATTTTGTCACATTAAAGTGTTACATGCAGCAATATCAAAACGTGTGCACAAGAAACGTTGGTCTAAAAATATCCTTGAACCGTATTGACTGTTGTGGAAGGGGAAGAAGTACAATTGGGCGTTTCTAGGTTGGAAATCCTCAAATATTATAATAATCAAAGTGTCCATTGATGTTTTTGTTCGTAAGTCCCATGAGACTGGATCTGTTCTGGTGGAGCAAAGGTACAATAATATATTTACAAAGCAGCGCAACAAGTGTTCAGAGAAAAACAGAACCACGTGACACCGAAGGCAATAGTTGAATTTTTTTAAGAGAGTTAGCACACAACTGCCGAGAAACTGGGAGCCTCTTCCATCCTGGATCTACTGCCTCAGTCCTGGATCTACAGCCTCAGTCCTGGTTTTACAGCCTCAGACCTAGATCTACAGCCTGTGCATGCATTGGAGCAGATCCTTCTCTCAATATGGGCCTACCCCGAGGTTTCTCAAAGAGTTTTTGAGTGGTTCCTTGCCGAAGCAGAAGGGTCTAAGGACAGTGATGATCTGGGACATTTAAGGACATCTCTGGACAGTGGTTATCCCGCTCCCTATGGACCAATGGCTCCTACTGTTTGTTATTACTGCATTTCTTGTGTTTGAACAGTTTGATGACAACTGCTATTGTGATTTAGGGCTGTACACAAATACATTAAATTGAATGTCCCCAGTAAGTCCTCAGTCCTGGATCTACAGCCTCAGTCCTGGATCTGGAGTTGCTACTTCGCCCTACATTGACCTCAACACAATACTGCAAATGTAAGACACTCTCACTCTAATGTCTGCTACTATTCCGCTACAAAAGCTTTATCTCCGCAGACAAGCCGAGTCCAATTTTAATTATGTGTAAACCATGGGGAAGGCCCTTTCAATTATCATTTCCGTGTGACGAACAAAAGCTTGCACGCGAGCTCTCAGTCTAATGAACCAATATGTACCTAAAATTATCACAGGGGCAGATCAGACTGCAGTTCCCAAAATGCACCGGGGTTTTGGAGGCAGGCACAGAGCAGGTCTGAGTCTGGTCTCCATTCGTCTGTCAAGTGCAGAAGTCAGCTCTCTCAGGACGCAGCGTGACCTTTCTACAACTTTAGTACTTTGGGATATTCAGAGGTTTCCAGCGATGAATAAAGTAGTGTTATCACAATCATGGTTCAAATTAAAAGTCTCTGGTCTCTCTCTCTTTGGTCACTCTCTGGGGTCTCTCTCTGGTCTCTCTCTTTGGTCTCTCTCTCTCAGGTTACTCTCTGGTCTGTCTCTCTGGTACTCTCCCTGGTCTCTCTTTCTGTGGTCTCTCCCTGGTCTCTATTTCAGTGGTAGTCCATCTAAATACAGCCTATGTGACCATCTGAGTTATTGACCTGTTGACCTCAACTTAACTAACAGATTAACTACAAGTGGACAGTTCCTGCATAAGTGTATAAAGTACACATAGATGTAAAATCAAATCCTATGGCTTATTCATTGAAGTTCCTAACCCTGCTCTCTCCAATGGCCTTATACCTTAGCTCTAGTGTGCACAACATAACATCAAATACACCACCAGCCAGTAGCTCGTGTCTGACTAATTGGCAAAGACTGATTTGGATTGAATCAATAGTGCACTGTTTACAATCGGGTTCAGCAGAGCATTGCACAGAACAAACCCGAGTGACCATCACAATACATTCTGAAAGGACAGAAAGGACGCGGCAGCCTCTGAAGAACCTACAAACCTGTCAACTTGCCCTTCTCTCATTTCAAGTATATGGTCTCTCTCTGGTCTCTCTTTTGGCCTCTCTAGTCTCTCCCTGGTCTCTCTCTGGTCTCTCTCTCCCTGGTTTTTAAAGTCTCTCTCTAGTCTCTCTCACTTGTCTCTTTCTCTGATCTTTCTCTGGTCATAGTCTCTCTTTCTCTGGTCTCTCAAGTTTCTCTCATGTCTCTCTCCCTGGTCTATCTCCCTGGTCTCTCTCTCTTTCTGGTCTCTCTCTTATCTCTCTCCCTGGTCTATCTCACTGGTCTTTCTAGTTTCTCTTTCTGGTCTCTCTTGTCTCTCTCCCTGGTCTCTCTCTCTTTCTGGCTTTCTGGTCTCTCTCACTGGTCTCTCTGGTCTATCTCGCTGGTCTTTCTAGTTTCTCTTTCTGGTCTCTCTTGTCTCTCTCCCTGGTCTCTCTCTCTTTCTGGCTTTCTGGTCTCTCTCACTGGTCTCTCTGGTCTCTCTCTTATCTCTCTCCCTGGTCTATCTCACTGGTCTCTCTCTCTCTCTCTTCCTCTTCCTAGTCTATCCCTCTGGTCTATATGGTCTCTCCCTGGGTCCTCTCTGGTCTCTCTCTGGTCTCTCTCTAGTCTCTCTCCCTCACTTTCGTAGTGAACGCTTTCCCTGTGTTTAAATAACAGTGCGACCACGCGTCCACGAGAGTCAGGTGCGTCGTGATGTCAGCGCAGCATCCTCTCATCGTGTCCATCTTTAGACTGAGTTACAACTACTTCACATTTTTACGCGCGACGTTACAGAGAATCGCGGCTGGAGCTCACCATTACGCACGGGCTTGGGGGGGGGACGATATTCACGTGTATAGTTGGTAAGGTTCAAAGCAGAGACAAGAAGAGGCGTATGACATTGACATTCATAGAAGCAGAAGGCGCACTTACCGGAGATATAATTCCACCGCGCGTCGTTTTCGCGTGTCGCGCTTCGCTGAGGTCCGTGTCGCGTTCACCTAGTGCGCTTCTGTCATGTGCTTCTCCAGCGTCAGTAAATCCAGCTTCAGAAAGTGGGCTGTGAACAAGTGCTCAGCTGGGTCCGCCTCCCGCGTGCCAAGCTTTCCAATGTGTGTGTGTGTGTGTGTGTGTGTGTGTGTATTCTCTCTCTCTTTCTCTCTGTTTGTGTGAGTGTGTGCGTGTCTCTCTCTCAATATCTCTTTCTCTGTGTGTGTGTGTGTGTGCGTGCGTGCGTTTGTGTGTTCGTGTATTTGTGAGTGTGCGTGCGTGTGCCTGTCTCATCCTCATCCACGCACAGCCCCCTCCTCTCCTCCTTTCTCCCCCGTTTGGCACGCGTCTTACTTCCCGATGATTTACAAATAACACGTTAATTTCTGTGTGTGTTTTGATCACACTGTTAAAGAGGACAGATCCTGGAGAGGACGCAGCTCCCCGCGGGGGCTGATGGGGGATGGTGCGTGCATTGTTCCAAACACACGTGCGTAAGGGGCATATTCTATAGACACAGAGCCGTCACGTGTTTGTGTTTCTTCCCCAAGAATCGCTCCAATCCTGAGATTCTGTGTGAAAACGTAAGCGACGACGTAAACACCGAGCCTCTGTGTGTGTGTGCGCGCGTTTGTGTGTCACTCTCCCGCTCTCTCTCTCTCTCTCTCTCTCTCTCTCTCTCTCTCTCTCTCTCTCTTTCTCTCTTTCTCTCTTTCTCTCTGTGTATGCGTGCATTTGTGTGTGTGCACGCGCTCGCTCTTCCCTTTTTTCTAGGTCACAGGCGGAGGGGACGTCACGAATCTCCCGGACCAGACCAGTCGTCTCTGTTCACCCCTCATTCCTCAAGATCATGTTCCCCACACGCACGCGCACACCTGCCCGCGCACACGCACCTGCAGCGGGACAGGTTCACCTTTACACGTCCATCCCTCTGACGCAATCGGAGACCCAGTGACGGAGGTGAGACAGCTTTGATCTCTGGAGGAGGCTGTAGCCGCGCAGAGCTGCTCCATAAACACATGGGGAGATGGATGTGTAATAAATGTAGAAATAATGATAATAATAATGCATTGGTTTTATATAGAGCTTTACATCTCATTATTCATTCACTCCTCACACGTGGTGATAAACTAAAAATGTAGCCACAGCTGCCCTAGGGCACACTGACAGAAGCAAGGCAACCAGTCCGTGCCATCAGCCCCTCAACACTTATTCTAGTGTCTTGCCTAAGGACACAGTCACAGTTTGACACTTTACAGCCGCAGCCGCCCCACTGTGGCACCTGGTGCTTCAGAGGTCTAACCGGATGCATTCACAAATAGGTATGGCCACATAAAAATGACCTCTGCTCTTGCATCTCCCACAGAGAAAAAGAGTGTACAACTGTAACTACAACAAAGACATGCACTTTTCTAACAGTGTAATAGTGTAGTTTATTACTGTGGTAAAAATGTAACAAAGTTTCACTATGAGTAATATTTGTTTATGGGTCAAGATCAAACACTTAACATAACACTGATATAATGTTACGCCTGTAGAAATCGGCTTTTATCATTTGAATCACACGCAAATGAGTACAGTACTAAATCACTACAGCAGTCGTCTCGAAGGACTTCACAAAATTGTAATAAACACAAAGAAGCCATTGGTCCTGGGGAGCGGGAAGAAAACTGCCCAGAAATGTTCCGGGTCGTCACTGTCCTTGGCTTAGACCCTCCTGCTCCGGCAAAGAACCACTCAAAAGGCTGTAGATCCAGGACTGAGGCTGTAGATTCAGGACTGAGGCTGTTCCCAGTTTGAAAGTTTACATAGTGTTGTTGGTTTCGTTTAAACGTTTGTTTATAATAAATGTATATGATCGAAGTTGAATTTACAACTACATTTACATCATTTTAGTAATGATTGAAAGTTACAAGACAAGGCAACTTATAGGCCTGGAGCTTGGAGCGGCTTCTCCGCGGGGCGCAGAGGGATGAGCCCTAACCTCCTCAGACCTGTTTGATTCCATACTGTCTTGTGTTGTCACTCGGGCCTCTGTCAGGAGCAGTGGTGCTGTAGTAACAGAGGACCCCGCTCCAGATGTTGTTGCTCTGATTGATCAGGACTACCAGAACTTTTTGTCCATGTTTTAGTGGTGGGGGAAACCAGAGCACCTGGAGAAAACCTACCCATCAGTTCAGATTGTTATTTGAGCTCAGAGCAATACATACAGTTGAAGATATCAGAATCAGAATAATTTTTATTGCCACGTAAGTAACAGGAAGTCACAGACATGGAAATTGCTTTGGCTCAGTGCAACAGTCAGAAAGAGATAATAAAAAATAAGAATAAAAAACACTTCTAAGGAATAAATTAAAATTTAAAATAGAGTTACAGTTACTATTTACAATATACAAGTGCACATGGTGCACACAATGTAAGGTGACAGCAGTACAGTGAAGTAAAGTGACGTATGATGGGCAGTAAAGTGACTTTATAAAGGGCGGGGGGACAGGTTAAGAAGTGTTCAAGAGTCCAACAGCAGAGGGGAAGAAACTGTTGTTGTGGCGGGAGGTTCTAATCCTGATGGACCGCAGTCTCCTGCCTGAGGGGAGTGGTTGGAATAGTCCATGTGCAGGGTGAGAGGGGTCGGCTGTGATACAACCAGCCCGGCCTCGTGCTCGGGCGACGTACAGGTCCTGCAGCGATGGAAGGCTGCGGCCGATCACTTCCTCTGCAGAGCGCACAATGCGCTGTAGTCTCTGTTTGTCCCTGACTGTGGCTCCAGCGAACCACACGGTGACGGAGGAGGTGAGGATGGACTCGATGATGGCCGTGTAGAACTGCACCAACATCTGTGCAGGCAGCTTGGCTTTCCTGAGCTGCCGCAGGAAGTACATCCTCTGCTGGGCCTTCTTGATGAGGGAGCTGATGGTCGGCTCCCACTTGAGGTCCTGGGTGATGGTGGTGCCCAGGAAACGGAAGGACTCCACAGAGGTGATGGAGGAGTCCATCACGGAGGGTGGGGGCGGGGGGACAGTGTTCTTCCTGAAGTCCACAATCATCTCCACTGTCTTCTGGGCGTTCAGCTCCAGGTTGTTACCACTGCACCAGGACACCAGCCGGTCCACCTCCCTCCTGTAGGCGGACTCATCGTTGTTGGAGATGAGTCCAATGAGGGTGGTGTCGTCCGCGAACTTGATCAGCTTCACAGAGTCGTGGCTGGAGGTGCAGTGGTTGGTGTACAGGGAGAAGAGCAGGGGAGAAAGAACACAGCCCTGTGGGGCTCCTGTATTTATAATCCGAGAGTCCGAGACATTCTTCCCCAGACGCACTCACTGCTTCCTGTCCGTCAGGAAGTCAGTGATCCACCTGCAGGTGGAATCGGACACTTTGAGCTGGGAGAGCTTGTCCTGGAGCAGGGATGGCAGGATTGTGTTGAAGGCAGAGCTGAAGTCCACGAACAGGACCCTGGCGTAGGTCCCCGGGGAGTCCAGGTGCTGTAGGATGTTGTGGAGGGCCAGGTTAATGGCGTCGTCTACAGATCTGTTGGCTCTGTAGACAAACTGCAGGGGGTCCAGGAGGGGGGAGGTGAAGGACTTGAGATGGGAGAGGACCAGGCGCTCAAATGACTTCATGACGACAGACGTAAGTGCTACAGATCTGTAGTCGTTGAGTCCTGTGATCCTGGGCTTCTTTGGGACGGGGACAATGATGGAGGATTTGAAGCAGGCCGGGACATGGCAGGACTGCAGAGAGGTGTTGAAAATGTCAGTGAAGACAGGAGTTAGCTCACTGGAGCAGTGTCTCAGAGTGGCCGGAGACACGTGGTCCGGGCCAGGAGCTTTGCGGGGGTTCATGTTTGTTTAACACTATAGAACTCCCAGAGCAGTTTTTCTGACTGCTCCCATCCACACAAACAGAATCCTCAGAAATGTCTTCGAAAATGTTTAGTTTTTTATCAGATTCATTAAGTCAAGTCAGTCATTTATTAGATGTTGTACATCCTTAACTTACTTTAATAAGGATCAGCACTTGAAAAGGGTTTTATCTGCCAGAATGTTGCTAAGCACCTTGAATTTTATATATAAATTAATAGAGCTGTCAAAATGACTGCTCTTGGAGGTAAAGGTAGAACTCACTTTTCAAAAATAAAAGGTAATTTTATTTTCAACAATTCTGACAAAGAAATAAACTACATTTACAGAAAAAATCACGACGTTTGGAAGACCAAAAATGTACGTCAGCGGAGAACTTAAACTACAAAAAGCCGTCAAATTGACTGCTATGGGAGTTTTAGTATTAAGTGCTATATAGAGCTCAAAAGGAGTCGGCAGAAGTAAAAAAAACACTTATAATCGCCTACCCCTTCTGACACAGGGAGAACATGCAACCTCCCCACAGTCTAGAGGTGGAATCGTGGCTCCCAGATTCACACTAACCCCGTGGAGGAGGGCTTATCTCCATCGCTTTAACAGAATGAATTGGATAATGAGTGAAGTGCAGCCGCAGCACCCACGAGAGCTCTTCAGCCTCTCACTCCAGCCTCACAAACAGAAGAACTCATGTTGTTGTTATTGACTTTTAATCATTAGAGCATATTCTCTCTCTTTTATTGCTGCTAAACACATCGCTGACAAGGGAACAACTTTATGAATCTGCTGAGGCTTTGTTGATTCGAAATAGAACTAAACCATATGTGATCTCTGTCGGGCTGGCGTTATCACCTGTGGTAGTATAGGAGTGTGACATCACCATAGTGTTAGCCTTAAAGCAGAAGAAGCCGATTTGAACATAAGCTAATTGTCATGGCGTGGATTTTATTTGTACTTTGTTTTAGTTTGACTTCTGTTCAGTGATTTTGTTTTGTTTGACTTCTGTTCCGTGATTTTGTTTTAGTTTGACTTCTGTTCTGTGGTTTTGTTTTAGTTTGACTGTTGCCTGTGTTGATTTTCGCCCCGCCCTGTTGTGTTTCACCTGTGTCTGTGTCTATTTGTACCTATGCTGCTCTCCCCTTATACTGGTCCTTTGTCTTTGTCTGTCTGTGTTCCGTTTGGATTTTTGAGTTTGTTTTCACCCTGGAATTGTATTTATTATCATCATTATATAATTATTTGTTTGGCATTGTCAGTCCAGAACGCAGCAGCTCGGATCCCGACTGGTACCAGACGCCACGGGCACATCTCTCCTGTGCTATTGTCTCTACATTGGCTTTCTGTCGCTTTTAGAATTAAGTTTAAAATTGTATTTTTAGTATTTAAATCATTGCACAAATCTGGCTCCATCACATCTCACTGATTTGCTTACTTTGTACACTCCGGGCAGAGCACTGAGGTCCTCTGACCAGCTTCCTTTGTACTGTCTCAGGTCTTGACTAAAGACCAGAGGCGAGTCTTTGCTGTGGCAGGGCCCAAACTCTGGAACGCTCTCCCCTATTGTGTCAGAGCTGCCCCCTCTGCAGAGAGCTTTGAATCTGAGCTAAAGACTATTTCTTTGCTCTGGCTTTTTTCTGCACTAACTCACTTTGTGAAATTTTCAAATGTCAGCGCCGGCCTCGCCCCCCTGTACCCCCACACTCAGCCTGTGCTTATGTGTTTACGGAGCTCACATCTCACAATATGGATCGCACATTTGAACGTGGATGGGGCGGAGGAACGGCTGTCTTTTGGACGGCTGTTTTGCTGAGTAAGCAGTAACCGGTAACAAAGACACGCAAAGTTTCAGGTTTGCCTCCGCCGCTTGTTTACCTCAGCTGTCTGTGCTAACGAGAGACCTGTAGCTTTTCTCAAGAAAGTGTGGGCCAGTGGTCCGCTGTGATTGGTCACAATCTGGTCCCGAAACAAATTCTCTTCCTCGATCTAAAATAAAATGAAACGCCAGCACAAACCTGTGCTACTTTTTCTTAAAAATGCACTGCATGGATATGGATGGAATTTTGTAATGAATAAAAAAATAAAGTGAGGTAATGCAGCTTTAACTTTTATGATAGTGGACCAGTATTTTATTATTGTGTTGTGTTGTATTTTTGTAATGTCTGTTTGTAAAATGTACTATATAAAAAAGTTGACCTTGACCTCAGTCCTGGATCTGCAGCCTGTCCAACCATGGGAACAGATCGCTCTCTTAATATGACCCTCTGTGAGATTTCTGACATTTTTCCCACCGGGTGATGATCCAGGACATTTCTGTGGTTTGATCCTTTGGTTTGTCAACAGTGAATTCACAACTGTGTGGAGTCTCCCAAGACAACTGAGACAAATACAGCGAATTGAATCGAAAACATGATCCAATCCCACAAACCATGTTGAGTCCCATAACATGAAGAGGACGGTCCCGCTGGTCTCCGGTCTCTCTGTGGACAGGGTCATTAAATGAGCATCGTGCTGTTTTAACCTTTGGAGACGAAGCCTAGAAAAGTCAACGTCTGCATAATTAATAGTGAGTTGTGGTTCCTTCAAATGACTTTCCTCCAGAGACTCAACATGAAATCAGTAATGATGATTGCATTTAGCTCTATACTGTGCTGCCTGTTCGTTAGCATGCACACTCTCCGTTCACCTTGAGGATCATTGCAGATGCAGGAGAGTAGTGAGAAGACAGAGGTTACCATAGAAACAAGGGTCCAACTCAACGACGTACCAACATACAACTGTGCTATGGAGATTTCAGTACAAAGATGACTTAGATTTTCGTTTTGTCTTTGCAGGGACAGCAACGGACTTTCAAAATGTACATAATTGATGGGATTTGTAGAGAGAATCCCAAAACAGAGATAGGAGACTGAGGATGTTTATGACAAGTTTATTTCCAACACAAGAATTTAGTAGAATGACTTAGCTGGAGTGTAGACAGAAGACCACGGAATCTGAAGAGACCAGAGAGAGACCAGAAAGAAACCAGAGAGAGAGGATAGAGAGAGAGGCCAGAGGGAGGCCAGAGAGAGAGACCAGAAAGAGGTCAAAGAGAGAGACCAGAAAGAGATCAAATGGAGAGAGACCAGAGAGAAAGTCAAGAGGGAGACCAGAAAGACTAGAGTGGCCAGAGAGAGAGACCAAACAGAGACCAGAGAGTGACCAGAAGGAGATACCAGAAGGAGAGACCTGAAAGAGACCAGAGACCCCTCTCTCTGGTCTTGTCTCACTCTGTCAGTCCACTCCTGTTATACAGTCTATGTCTTCAATGACAAATATCATAATGACTTTTGTTGCTGTATGTAGGTTGTCCACACTGAAGAAGAAGAGCACTGACTCTTCTTTATTGTTTCTGTCTCAAAACTTGCAAGTGTTCCTCTTCCACAGCCTCCAACAGACTTAGCTCTAAATCCCTGTGTTTTTTTATGTTAGCCAGACAAACACAGCGGGTGGTAACAATGGAAGTTAATAAACTGTAATAAAGGGGAAACTGCAGCTGCATCCAGAGAGATTTTGCAAAGAGCTCTGAGTGGATTTAGAACAAGTGGGTCTGTGACGGTGGGAGGTCAGACAACTGCTGCACGAGAGCTCCAAGATCAGAGGGATTGAGGGAAAGGACTCTGCTTACACCTCCGAGAGAGACTGATACAGAAAGTTACTGGAAATATTTGGACAGTCATGTGTACAGTAAACTATCAGTGTAGTTTACTATACAGCTCTAAATCCCAACAGCAGTCGTCTCTGAGAACTTTACAATGCTGTCAATTCACCAACAACAGATCAGAGAATCAAACCGTTCAAACACAGGATATGTTATAATAACAAACACAGGAGCCCTTGGTTCATCAGGAGCAGGATGACCACTGTCCAGGATCATCCGAGTCTCAGGAAAAAATAGTAGAAAGAAAGTGAGAAACCTCAGGGAGGTAAACATTGCGCAGGAATGGTGAGAAATAGTACAATACAAGTAAAAGTCAAATTTTCTCCTTTTATATGAGCCATGCAATCATTCCCAGGCACATTGTGCAGGGTACTGCACAGTGCTGAATCAGAATATATGTAAAATGTTGATTATGGAATGAAGCAGCACTAGCTTCTTTACACCTTTGTCTTATTGAAATAACCTTTTAAGCTCTTTCAGAATGTTCGATATA